TGCCACCCTGAGTGTGCCTCCTTGGGTGGGAATTAGTATATCTCACATTTCTACTTTTTCTTCAGATACTTCTCTTTGCAGAAAATCATGTTACTAATCTATCTGCCTGTTAGCTTTTGCTCTCCTTTTGATAAACTGAAGAAGAAAAAATACATGTTCCTGTGGCAAAAAACAGACAATGAAAAAAATTCAAAGAAGATGGATGAGGTTCCATCACAGCAAGAAATTTAAGAAAAGGTTAGAGATGAAAATAATGGGCATGGTGTGTAGCCTGAAGTAATCTTGCAAACTTCAGGGAACCAGACCAGATAATCCAACTTGCCCTTTCTGCCTCTGCAATCTTCCAATTACTATCTACCATCAGGCTACACAGAAAATTTCTACTAATGGTGATAGAACTTCTAGCCAGATCTAAAAGAAAGGAGTACAACCAAGTGATTCTAGGATGTAACCCCTTAAAGTGATTTATTCCTTAAGCACATCATCATCTTGGATCACAGTCTTGACCTTAAGCTTGTGTTTATGTCATACTTTAAAATTATCCTCAGTTTGGTTTAGTTTGTTGGCCTGACATATAAGCCTAAATTTTAGTGAGTTTGACATGTTGTAGGTTAGTATAAGTAGCTTAGAAAACACTTAAATAAAATTTGGAGGAGGAGTTATTTCTCATGACTGTAAATTAGAAATAAATATAAAAATACAACACACTGAAACTCTAATAATGAAATTGTGTTGCATAACTAAGTTTTCTTCTCAGATAAGTTCTACAATACCATAAACTTATATCATCGTTAATAGCCACTTATAATAGAAACATCAAGAATTGTTTAGTTATAGTGCAATTTCAGTTCTCTTAAATACTTATTCATTTCACAGGTTAAAGGTTAAAATATGATCTTTTATTATGCTCCTTGTTCGATTTTTTTATTTGGTCTCTAAGCAGTTGTTTGAGTGATGGTGGGAGTAGTGATCTGTCTTTGATACTGTCTATATGGTCATTCACCTACTATATAAGGAAGGAATTAATTTAACATCCTGCTTAATGTGGCTGGTTAAATAAAATTGACAACTTGAGCTTTACACCTGCACTTCTATGTCTGTTGTTAAAATAGACTTACAAACCAGGCAGCTTCCTAAATTATTTTTACTCTAGATCTTTGCTTTCTATTCCATAGGTTTATTTAAAGAGTTTGAAAAATTCAGCTTAAACTATATGCAAATCCTTCTAAACTGGGCCCTTTATATACATGCATTCCCTTTTATGTGAACAATACTTTGTTAATGGTTCAATAATTAAGAAAGCTTACATTTTAAAGACTTCAGTTTTTAATTGGCTGAATATTAATCACAGATCACTTTCAGTTCTGTTGTGATTTGCAAATTATTGATGTCTCAGCTGCATTTGTTTTCAGGTATCACTCTATCTGCATAATGCAAAATAACATTCTGCAATTATTTCAATTAGATGCAGTCAGCCTTTGGAGCAAGCTATTTATTCCATTTCTGTAAATGAAGAAAGTAGTTGCTGTTTTCCATTCCCTGATGTTTACTGCCCAGAACTAGCTCTCACAACTGGTATGTGTGCAATACATAAACAGTTTCATGAATTATGTTAGCATTCATGGTAACAGACAAGCAGTTGAACTCCCCTGGCAAGATTTCATTTCCTTAACTGATTCTTCTGCCTTGGAAAGAGATGTCACCTTTTGGGGGGGTATTCATTACCATTTTAAAGTATATTATGAAAGGCAAAAAGAGTTCTTAATTAGCAGAATCTGTTTTGCAGAAGTGCATAACATTAGAGGATTTTTTTTTTCATCAGACTGCGGTTGTTACCTAAGCAGAGGAGGAATTTCACCTAACCACAAAGAATGAGATATACAAATAGCTGTGTTGTCTTAAGAAGGGGTCGGGTATGTCTCCTTACAACGATTTTGTTCCATAATTGCAATTCACATTAAATGCAGCAAATGTTACCGTCCTGCCCACTCAGTTTCCACCTCTACTTTTGTTTCAAGCGGGGGCGGGAGGGAGATCGTCAG